ATAGAAAGCTTTCATACTGCCTTACTAAGTAAATCTTCCTTGGAGGTGTCTCTGCATGGAGATAGAATACATCTATTTATACTCATTGCATTAAATGCACATTTAATGCAACGTGATAGGATTAGAACGCGTGTCAAGCCTTAAAATGAAGATTTGTCTTTTGCTACAATGAATAGTACAAAAAGCCTATTCATGAGCAGACATCCTTTCACAAAGTTGGTGGGTAATAGAGTCAACTAGTTGGCTCCGTACCGTACTAACATTTAGATATGGTATGAGTTTGTCCTTTGTGTGCGTAAGGACAAGACAAAAACAATCATGCTCAACAAGCTTCTTTTGATCGCTGAATGCTGGAATAACCTGGAGGTCTCTTCATCATTCGTTGAGGCTTGGGCAATCTTCACACATATATAGACAAGACTGTAATCACTGACTACCGCTTTAGATCACCTACTCGTCAGTCTCTAATCTTCAATTTCAGTCTTCGACTTTTGCTGAAGGTTCTTTGGTGTGAGTTTTGTCTTCTTGAAGCATCGTTATTGCTGATTGGATTTACATTACAAGTTCTTCAGCGATCACTAAACAGACTCAGTGATGATCGCTGGAACTGAAAACAGAAACATAAATACTTCGTAAAGGGTAAAAGGGATTATCATCAGATCAATGAGAGAAATGATCAACAATGTCCTTGACTACATCAACTTCGAAAATCTAGATTAGAAAATCTTTCAATGTGTAAAACCTTGTATATCTATTATTTTCTTTTAGTGTATAGCTTTTATGTATTAAGCCTACCAAAACCAATTGTAATCATTTGTATTTTGTTTTTGTCTTGAAAGGTATTTCAATAAATCGATTTGTTCACTGAAAAAGATCCCTGAAAAGAGTAAATGAGACATGTACTTATGAGTCCTATTTATTTTACATTCTCTGACATCTTTCTTGTCAGTGAATACGTTCTTAGTATTAAGTTATTCATGCTACGTAAATTTATTCTTTCCTTGTAATTCTTTATAAATAAAGTAAATGTTCATAATAAACTATCATTAAAAAAATCCCAAAAACAGTAAAAAGGTACATGTATTTTACTAGTACATTTTTCTTACTATAATATCCAAGCACTTTTCTTTATGTTGCTTTGTCATCATCAAATATGAGGAGATTGTTGATCATCTCTCTCAGTGATGTGATGATGTTTATTTAACGAAGAGTACTTTCTCTTTATTTAGTTCCAGCGATCATCACTGAGTCTGTTCAATGATCGTGGAACAAGTATTGTATCTCTCAAGAGACAAGTATTTTTCAAGAAGACAAAACTCACACCACAAGGACCTTCAGTGATATCGAAGATAAATCTGAACACAGAGACAAGAAGTTCATGATCTGATGCGGTTTCAGTGATAACAAGTCTGTCTACAAATGTGTGAAGTCTACTCAAGATTCAGCATACACTGAAGAAACCTTAGAGTTATTCCAGTGTCAGCGATCAAATGAATCTTGTTGATCAATATTAGTTTTTGTCTTATCATTCTACACACAAAGGACAAACTCATACCTCTCAAAGTAAAGCACTCGTACAGAGTCACCTTATTGTCTCCAAACGTGGTTACCTACTTTGTGAAAGAACAATGTTCATATACGAAAAAAGCTTGTATATCTGAAGATAAAGGACAAGCTCACCTCTAGAAACTTGCCATGTGTCTTGTATTGTCTGACTTGCATTTAATGCAATGGGTATAAATAGATAAGAAGTCCCTCCTTCTCATATACTTGAAGGTCAAAAGATCTACCCAAGAAGAGACACCCTCACAAGCACAAACTTCTTAACCTTGCAAAGTTATATCTACTTCAAGTGAAGAACAACAACTAAGCTCTTCCTTTAGCGAAATTATTACTTCTTCTTTTAACAAGTCTTTCTTTTCTTGATTTCTGAATCTTGTGTGTTCCCTAGATTGTTTTAGATAAGTCATGTATCTTATAGTCTGTAATGTCTTTTTTGATCTTCTTTATAAATAAAGGATTTTAAAAAGTAAAAAATATTGTATGTTAGTATTCATTTCCTCCCTACAAACTATTACCTTGTAGACCATCTCGGATCAACATTACTATATATATATAGATATATATATATATATATATAGAGAGAGAGAGAGAGAGAGATGAGTGATCATATGAAAACCGTCCTCATTTGTGTAAACCGTGCAAACCTCCTTCATCTGTCGATTTCATTGTTTAATCTTGTGAAATTGTTTCATATAATACTTTTTTTTTGATGAAGTTGTTTCATATATGGTTGTGAAATTGTTTCWTATAAWAHTTAATGAAACTGTTTCATGTATTTCTCTAAAATTAAAATAATGAAGATGATAATATCYATGATTAACATCYTCCACAATAAAAATGATTAATCAACTTCTCATAATTATAAAAAAATGAACAAAATGAAAAATTATGATTGTTTGAATACGGTTTGCACGGTTTGTACAAATTGAATGGTTTGCATTTAATCGCTCTCCTATATATAAATATATATATATATTATTGTTATATTAAATACAATACATATATGAAACCCACACTAGTGACTTCTTCTTCCCCGGCAATACTTCACTTCCCACCTCTCCTTCTGACGACTACATCTTCCACGTCCCCCCMCACACACACACTGAAGAAACCTATCCCCCGACTTTATCTTCATCTTCCACATCCCGACTTCAGTTTCCCAAACCCACCCCTCACTTCATCTTCACGACAGACTCTTGCTTTTCCACTCCCTTCACGCTGGAAGACCATCCGTATATAGATTTAGATCCAAAATACTTCTGTACATCTAGATTTGAGCCTCATCCAAGTGTTAAACCACGACTCCCTCTACACCACGACTTCATCACTATTACTCCGACCTCCTTACGTAAAGACTATAACCCAGATCCGTGAGACTCTGTAACCCACGACCGGATCCCGTAACGATCTTCTAACCCATATTCGTGGATCACGAAACTCCCACTCTCACTGTAACTCTGTTGTTACTCTGCCCCGCCCCCTATTATCCCCACTTGAGTTTTGGGTTTTGAGTTTTTGAAGCTTCGATTCTGAAGATCGAGATCTTGGTATTTGAATTGCAGATTTGGTGATTACCAAGACATGGTTTTTGAACCCTGTTTTTCCATCTTCATTTATGTTTTTTTATTTTAGGATCCAAGCTTCCCTTTTTTCATTTAGAGTTTAGAAAAAATGAGTTTATATTTAATTTTGTTACATTTGATCTGGTTTGTTCTTCAAAAAAGGAATGTTCTCGATGGGATGGGTTCATGGATTTTGAATATGGATTTGATTGAGTTTGGATTTTCATGGGTGAGTCTTTAATTTTGATTTACAGTTTTAGTTATTAGGGTTGATTTGTTTTGTTATGTTTGGTGTTTGATATAGTATATGAAAGGAAAGGAAAGGAAAGGAAAGGAAAAGGGGTGGGATGTGTGTGTTACCGGATAAGATGGAGAAGATAGAATAAATTACATTTTTAGTCCCTAAGGTTTAATAAATAAATAGAGTACATTAAATGAAAATAAATTAAATGACTAGACTACCCCTCTAAACTAACTGAGACTGAGTTAACAGAAGTTTTTGAATGGAGTTAGAATATAGGTTAATATAATACAAACCACATGAATGTAGTTTGTAGATCCTTGAAACAAAAATGTAATGTAATTTACTCTTTTGAGTAAAAACTTAAAATGATCAACATATTTATAATATTGCAACATTTTTCCTACTTGCATCTTGATAACAATATCATATTTTTGTTATTAAATAGAAATTTAAATCGTAAAATGCAACATTTTTTTAACAATATTATTTATTATTATTAACTAGTATAGTATAGTATAGTATAAATACATGACATTGTATTTAATAAAAATAAAATCAGCATAGAATAGATTACCTTTTAATATAATTTAAAATCTTATAATAATGATATCATCATGGACAACTCACTTCCACATGTAGGATTAGGACTAGGACTAGGAGTAGGAGTAGGAGTAGGAAGGTTCATGGCCCAAGAAAGGTCCGAGCATCTGCTTAGCCCTCATTTTGTACGCTTCAGCTTCAGCTTCATTTCAATTTATAAATATCTCTTTGTAGCTCTTATTCTTATATATACATACAAATAATTATATAATAAATATAAAACTCAAATATATATATATATATATATATATACACTTGATTACGTGAGACCAAAAGTTTTTCGTGAGACCTGTAAGACCAATTTCTCAACCCTTGAATTAAATCTATAATCCGAACATTCATAATTACAAAATTGCCACGAGACTTCTCCATAATCACAAAATTGTCATCGTACAACTTTAGACGACTAAATCATTAACTTATAAAGTTGATCAATGAATAAATAGATCGTGTCACAAAAAACCTTTGGTCTCACGTGAACCCAACCCATTCCAAATTACTATTGGTTTTGTAAGAGCAACTCCAATCGAACCGCAAAACTAGTTCTTTTGGATCCAATCGCACGCCAAATACACCAAAGTTTTGCCGAAGGCAGGAAATGAACGGCAAATTTGCCGTGGAAGAGATGGACGCCAAAAGGTTGGAGTTAAGTTTTTTTTTTTTTTTTTGGTGTTTATGAGCCTACCTATTTGGTTTTTTTTTTTTTTTTTTTTTCTGTCATGGTTGGAGTTGCTCGAAAAGAAATTGGAAAGGAATTGTAAGAAACAGTAGATTAGCTATTTTTTTGTCAATTTGGATGCCCTTTAGAACATGAATCACGAAACATAATTGTGTGTATTCTCCATAAAAACAGAGAACCCATTACAAGTGTTGATCCAGTGGGTTGCTACTACCCTCGGTTACATTCATAAACATACATACTTGAAAAGTGATTATCAGAATCATGATTCATGAAGATGAATTTCAAAATTACAAAACAAAAAAAAATCGAAGAAGGAGATATGGAACTAAATCGTGTGTAGCAGCAAGGATTATCCATAAATAACATGGGTATACTTATCTTTAAGCCATCTGAAGCTCTTCCGAAACGATCCTTTGAGTTTTCCCTCAACGGAGTAGACTTTGTATCCAGCAACCCTCTTCTTCCTTTGGAACTCAGGATCAGCGAAACTCCATGATTTTGAGATTGATCCATTTGTGGATTTCCCTCTCTTCAACTTGAAATTATTCTCAGTGTTGGCAACAACGATATCCATATTTGACTGTGGGAGTTTGTAGGAAGAAGCATACGAAACGCTGTAAGATCTGAAATCGCGGGGTGGATGGCGGTCGAAATCGGGTAATTTTGGGCCAAATCCACCATTGTATCTCTCTAATTGCAAGTCTCGATCACTATAATTGTAGGATTTTGATCTGTAGTCATCCATGCGTATGACGGATTCGGAAAGAAATGAGAATTTTCTAGGAGGTGGGGTTTGAATTTGAAGGAGAGAAGTAAAGAGAGGAGGTTGGGTTTGGGAGGAAGTCGTAATGGGAGGCTTGTATTTGGTCAACACGCAGCAGACATCACACAGCTCAACATTTGAAATTAATTCAAGAAATAATATGCATAATCTATTTATTTATCAACTTATCTCAGCTTTTTCCTTAACGGATTGTTTATTTATTTTTTAATAGTTTCGTTAAGATGCAGTTTTTGAATTGTTAAGAGGTAAATTATATTTGACAAAAGAAAAGTCTGTCTTTAAATGATTTTAAAATTTTCTGAATGATTTTGTATCATGAGTCTTCCTTAGTCATTCAGCGTCCTAATTTTATCGTAAACAATTACCAAACAATTATATTTCATTTTTCACTATATCATGAGAATCTCATAATAATTCTGACCACTTAATCATTTTACACCAAACCATTCAGCAACTGTCAAACAACCCATAACTTATTTTAATAAAAACCACCTCCAATATGATAACTTTTTGAAAAGCCTTTTTTATTATTTAGAATTTAACATTTATCCCTTTTTTTAATTTATAAATTGTTGTATAAAATCCCTTCCTAACAACCATTATAAATATATTGTATTTAATTGTCACACAACATTTTATTATAGATTACTTGTCCGTTTTTTTAGGGGTGCTACTTTGGTAAGGGTGTGATTTTTTTTTGAAAATTGTCCCAATCAATTTTTTTTATAAACATCACTTCAATAATTATTTTATTAATTTTATTTTATTTTATATATTTACATTAAAAAATATATATATTATTTTATTATTTTTATGTTATTTTATTATTTACAAATT